CGTCCGGATCACTGTACCGCGGTCTACTCGACTTTCGAGATTGACGATGACCTGCGGAACAGCTTCATCCGCGGTTACCAAGCCGACCCCGAGTTTCACGACAAGTACGCGAATTGCTCCTCGCCTAATCCGGCTCCTTCTCACTACCGGATTCAGGAGGGGTACTTGCTTGTCCACACGCGGGGGAAGGACCTTCTTTGCGTACCAAGTGATCATCACTTGCGTACACGGCTTCTTGGCGAGTTCCACGACCCTCCCGCCACCGGACATTTTGGAGTCAATCGCACAATTGGCCGACTTCGCCAGTGATTTTGGTGGTCCGGCCTTCTCGGCGACGTCACGCGCTATTGCGAGTTATGCGAGGTTTGCCGACGCTGCAAATCCCGCAACCATCGTCCGTACGGTGAGCTACGACCATTGCCAGTCCCGTTGAGGCGAACGGAAGCGATTGCCATGGACATCACCGACCCGTTCCCCAAGCACAAGACCGAAGTGGATGGGATTCTCACGGTGGTCGACCGACTCACCAAGTTCGCCATGTTTTTGCCTTGTCGCTATCATGCCAAGGCAGCGGAGTTGGCCGAGGTTCTGTACGCCGGTTGGATTCGCACCAAGGGTTACCCCAAGAAGATCGTCTGCGACCGCGATACTCGGTTCATGTCCGATTTTTGGTTGGCGCTCATCAAGCGATGGGGCTCATCTCTCAAGCCCAGTTCAGCTCGCCACCTTCAGACAGATGGCCAGACGGAGAGGGCGCATCAGACCGCACAGGTTCTCCTTCGCACTCTCATCCGCCCCGACCAGAAAGACTGGGCTGAGCGACTGCCGGACGTTGAGTTGGCCTACAACTCTTCCATCCACCTGGCTCTTGGGATATCGCCCTTCGAGTTCGAGCACGGCTCGCCGGTCACGTTACCGTTGGACATGATTACTCCACGCACGGTCGAGAGCGACGACCATCTTCTTTTCTTGCGTCGGATGCAAGAGCTTCTTGTCAAGGCACGCGACCAGATGGCTAAGACGCAACAACGCATGCGCCAACAGGCAAATCGTCAGCGTCTTCCTTGTCCATTCCACGCCGGAGACCTCGTCTGGGTTTCAGCAGCGGAATTCAGCCTTGAACAAGACGTCTCTCGCAAGCTCCTCCCGAAATGGATGGGGCCTTGGCCGATCATAGAGCCCGCTGGGGACGCACCCGAAGGACCCTCCTTCACGATTCAGGTGCCTAGCCACTTGCCTGTCTACCCAGTCTTTCATTGCTCCAAACTGGCTCTCTACACGCCAGCGGATCATGACGACTTTTCCGGGAGACGGACGCAAGACCCACCTTCTATGGATGGTTTTCAGGAGCGACATCATCTCCCAGCGACGCTTTGGCAACAAGCCAACTGAGTATTTGGTGCATTTTGCCTACTGCACACATCGAGCTGACCGTTGGTTAACCCGTGCGGAACTGCAAGCAATAGCTCCAGACGTTCTCGCACGCTACGAACGCAAGATGCAGGGCAAGCCGGTTTCTTCGGCTCCACGCCGTGCCTGCGTCCAGGTTCCACCTTCAGATCGACGGCTTCGCCCTCGCCCCGGCTTGACTTCATAAGGAGGGGGGGGTGTTACATGCAGCGCGTGCACACACGGGCCATTTTGCAGGCCCGACAGCATTCAGGCCAAAAGCCTGAACTTCAGGCCGAAAGCCTGAATTTTAGGCTGAAAGCCTGAAATCCAGGGCTTACAGGCCCCCTGTCGGTTCAGGCCAAAAGCCTGAAGTCCAGGGCCTATCCCTGGTCCTTTCAGACTAAAAATGGCAACAGCCTTTTTAGCCTGAAACGAACGGCCATTTTCGGTCGTTCATCAGAACGACCGGCCCTGAAACTCAGGCACCGAACCAGGGTTTCGGAAACAGACTATTATTAGTCTGTTTCCCACGCCAGCCTCAAGCAGGCWGCTGCACGCCAGCCCCTGGCACATTTCGGCATTGGCAAGAGCTGCCTCCACGGCCTGACTCCCCTCCAATAGTCARGAGGCAGGCCGAGGTAGTACATAGGACTTCCCAGGCACTTCCGAGGTAGGCAGTTCGGCAGYTGTAGTCTTYAGGATTCGGGAGCAGCACTCTGGAGGGAGCGCTGCGTTGTAGTAGAGTAGCGTTAGCTAGTAGTCTTCAGCGCTGGGCGCAGTAGGTAGCTGTAGTCTTCGACGYTGGGCGCCATAGCTAGGTAGTGGTAGAACTGATGRGCGGAGGCCAGGGATCACTTACCTGCAGCGCCGTTGCTCCAGCTTCRTCTTCAAGGTACCTGCAGCACAGCGCCAACATCACAGGTTAGTACCTGGTTCGTAACAGTGAGAGAGAGAGAGAGTTCTCTTCTTCCTCTTCTCAGTCTACCATMTTCTTCTTMCCCTCTCAACTTCTWACTTCCCTGCRGTTGCAGACTACGAGAGAAGAGATACCGGGCTTGGTGACATATGATCCAGACTTGACTTTTTGGGGATTCAGACATGGCAACGAGGGACTATTTGGGATTGGTGACCAAGACTTGGTGTTAACGACATTCCCATCTTCCTCCCTCCTTTTCGTCTAATCCCTTACCTCTTCGTTTGTGTATGTCTGGACCTGGCGCTCGCTTCCTGTGTTACAGCGCCAGGCTCCTTCACACTCGGTGATGGATAAAATGCATGTTTAGTCTGAGTTCAACATTGATTGGGCTAGTTAGTAGCACTCTGGCATTCTGCTCCGTTACTCCGAACTACGTGGGTGAGGTCAGTCCTGTCAGGTCAGTCTTTGTATCAAGTCTTCCCTGCGCTCTTCAGCATATTCATGTATGAATGAGAATGTACATTGCTGGTCGAGATTCTTGTAACCGCATTGTCTATTCAGTCCTTTTCATCACATTGCAGATTCTCGTTTTATTGCATACATTGCATATCTATGCATGTAACACAGGCCCTGGGCCAGATTCACAACATGGACCGAACACAGGCCGCGGGCAGTTGGATAAGGGCAACCACCACACGCCCAGGGCCTGATTTGTTTGGACAGGGGCTCAGCCTCTCTGGGGCTATCGGAAGCTTCTGGGCAGGGGCCCAGCACAGCCAAGCTGCACGCAAGCAGGCAGGCCACTTCCATTTAGGAAAGTGCCTGCCCACGCATTCGGCATTCGAGCACTGGCTGCATGCTGTGCATGCGCTACTGCGCTAAAGCTGGCCAACGCTCACGTGCTCACAGGCGAGCTGGAAGGAGCAGGCAGCCATAGCCGAGCTGCACTGCTGTATGCTGGATGGGGCGCATGGTGGTCCTTGGGTGCACGTGGCATCTGTGAGTTGGGGAACGAGGTTGTGAGTGATACGAGAGACATACCTGGTGCTCGAAGCGTACGACATTGACCGAGATCTGCTCGTATTTCGGGGAGCTGTTGACGTCATCGGCGGCATTGTAGATTAGACTAGATAGGATCTGCCATACGCAGTCTGGGCGCCGAGCGCCAAATAGGATATCGACATTGGTGCTTTGTCGATGATGATGAGACTATTCCAGCATTGTCAATTATGAGCTTTTGCTGTGCTCTTATTTGGTGAAACTCGTGATGCAATTCTGCTATTGGTTCGAGGTCACGACTATCTAGTGTCATGTGTATGATGCTGTTTGATTTCTGATGTTCGCTATTGCTCATTTTCCTTGCATAACCTGATTAGTCAGAGAAAGGAAAAAAGTTGCGGATCTTGGGAATAAAATCCCGCTACTAATCAATCAATCAAAAAATCAATCAATTAATCAATCTGCAGTAACCCGTGTTCTGCAGCAGTTTGGGCCTCGAACGGAGCCCAGACTACATAGGTCAAACTCGGCCCGTGCCAGGCAGTGTGACCATGCACTGCCCTGGGAAAGTCAACAGTCTAAGTCAACTGTCAAAGGTACCACGCCCTGGCCCTTGGTCGGATACACTCACTTGTTGTGCGCAAGTACCCAGTCAGCATCAAGACCACAGGGAGTTCGGTTTCAGGCCTATCTGGGCCGTCATTTGCCTTGAGATCTCGACGCCGAGGGAAGCAGCAACCGGGGTCCAGACCCCGCATCAACGCTATATAAACCTGGACCTCCTGGCTTGGAGAACATTCTGTCTTGCGTCAATGCTGACTTCACGTGTTGACTACGACGCTAGAGCGACGTTGCGACGCTAGCTGAACGCTGGCACTTAGGGCGACCACGGCGATGTGCTGCTGGCTTGACATGGTGGCTGGCTGGCAATTGTCTTCTGGGCAGGCTGACGTGGCAGCTGCCACACGTCGCCGCTGACGTGGCCGCTGCCACGTGTATTCTTGCTGACGTGGCGAGGCTACGTGACTAACATTTCGGTTTTGATTCATCATCACTCGGGAGGAGATCGTAACTGTGGGGCGACTGTAGATACGTACCTGGTTTTCTTGATGTCGACATTGCTCCAGCTTGCGGATGAGGACAGATTGACGTGCCACGTGGCGCATTGTGATAAAACTTCAGATTCGCATTCAGACTATTGGTTATTGAGGTGGCGATCGAGGAGGGGCCCGAAGCAAAAGTGGGCATTGTCTTTTTTCTCCACTCTAAGTTTATTCTCCCTCCTCTCTCCTTCGTCTGTGTCTGTTTTCCCATTTCATTCTATCTGGACACGATTATGATTATTGACAATCATCAGCAGGTTGATATCTATCTGGGTTTGTATTGTTGACAAGTGTCTTCACGATCTGGGTTCAATGCAATTTGGTATCAGAGCAGTACTCCCGATGACGTGTCTAACGACGAAGAAGTGGTGACGCCTACCAGAGGAGCTGACGTGGATAAGTGTGAACAGTGCACGTCAGGTGTTGACGTTGCATTGGTATCCCGACAGGGGAAAGTCCAGCAGGATCGCGCTGCGATCCAGATCCCGATCGATCGCATCTGCGATCGGGATGCATTGCTGACGTGGCCGGTGATTGTTGGGGAGTGTTGACGTGGCATTGTTGACTCACCACTCGTCTACTGTGGTGAGTAGCTTCAGGCTGACATGGCGTTGTCTGACGTGGCACTCCATTACCTGGCTGACGTGGCATTGTATGACGCGTTGATATTGCTCTTGACGTGTACCGCACTGATGATGCTGACTGGACTATAGTGTTGATGTGGCAGACTCAAAGCGTTGCTGTGTTGGTACACCAGGGGATACACGTGGCAGGCAGGAACGTGACTTACTCGACGACGACATTGATGCACATTGTTGACGTGCACCCCATTGATGACCTTGACGAAACATGCTGACGTGGCATACGCTTCGATTTGCTGAGTTGGCATGCGAGGGGTGACACGTGGCAGGCACGGATGTGCCTAAGTAAGAGTTGCATTCTGATGACTGAAGCGGCACGGCTGGAAGACTGACGTGGTTGTGGTACTAGACGTCAGATTGGGTGCTGATCACATAGGACCGAAGAAGAAGCAGCAGCAAGGTAAGAATGTTGACTATTGTTGCGATTTTATGTTGGGAGACTTACCTGTTGTCTTATGCTGTGTTGTGTACATGTGTACTTACTTGTGTGTGTTGATGATCATGCTAGCCTGAATCATGGTACCTGAAATAGAGCATAACTTCATCACATAGAAATAGAGCAGCAATCAGGATTAATATTTTTTTTTTTGTTTCTTGCTATTAAATCTTTCTGTTCAGATAGTGTGAATTTTGGTCCGGGCGACCGTTTAAATTATTGTCTTTCTTATTTATTTTGCGGTAGATCAACCTGGCCGACGAATTTTTTTGTTTCTGTCCTCCGAAAATGTCTCACTTCTGGAAATGTTTACAAAAGTCTATTCTGACGAGGTTTGTGACCACGGTTTTGTCTCCTATTCCAATCACGCTCTCCGTGGGCGATGGACCGTTCGAGATTAAGACTCGGACGCAGGCTGAGAATAGGAAACAGGAACTGTTGGCCTTGTGGAATCAGCTATTGACAGAAATACATCTATCCGGACCGGATGCTGAACAACACATCCATGATAAATTTGATTTGCGGACAGCTGAAGACCGTCTGAAGAAATCTATCACAGTTGTGGAGGTTGTGGCAGCCGGGACCGAAGTCTCCAAACTGGTTGCCCAGTGTCGTCTGGCGTTGGACCAGTTTGCCTTCAAACAGCTAGAAGAACTAATGGAATTGACTCGTAAAGGCGAGACTAAACCAGAAGTAACCGAGGCTATGATTGATGCAAACATCCAGCAGTTGAAAAAGACGCTTGCCGCGGAAGAAAGAAAGAAAGAAGAACTGGCTAGAAGGAGAAAATAGGAACAGAGAATAAAACGGAAAGTTAAGGAAATCAGACAAGTGATTGGAACAGAAACTGGGGAACAAGTAGACATGTCTCATATGTTGTCTCATATTATGACTTACCTTACCTTCTTGAAAAAGAAAATTGACA